GAGGCATTTGCGAATGAATCGACAATTGACGGTGAGTTGGTGGTCCAATGGAGTTGTTGGTGAGGGTGTTGTTGAGACACCTGCGTCTACCTTGGTTGTTATTATTATTATTATTATTATTATTATTATTATTGCTCCATTCATCCATCCAATTGAACGATTTCATTCATTAACTCATTAACAGTTCCGCTTGCCCTCATGTGAGGTGTGTGTGGCGGAGGTCTGGTCGCCAGTGCATGTGGTTGTCAATGTGGGTTGACTTTGGTTTGAGAATGATAGACTTGGACGCACCTGTCGCTGCGTTGGTGCATCCCCTTCCACCATCAGTTTCATTTCTTGGCATCTTGATGAATTGGTAAGGCATTGTGCTGTGGTGGAGTTGAATGAGTGCATTGAACAGTGCAGTGTAGGCGGACGCGTTAATTTGACGGAGGCGTGAAGTTGATCTGTGCATTGAATGTGTAATGCATTGTAAAGTAACGCCAAAGTGCTGTCACCACAGCAGCAATTGTGGGTGAGTAATCTCCGTGGCGGCTGAACCACATCGATTTGAAATGCCGAAGGCAGAATCAGGTCATTAACAGTGTCGTTTAGAGCATCGGAAAATACCCATTCGACTGGAGAGCATACTGATCACGCGTCCTCCTAGTGACTGGGACCTATTCCCAGAATGGGAAGAAAGGTTATTTAACAGACCCGAGTGAAATCGCAATTGTCTCCCTATTACACAGTGTCTCATTGGACCCTGTCGCTTGCCCATCAGATGGGTGGCATTGGGAGGCGGGTTTATTCCGAAAGTCATGCTACTGAATTGTCATAGGCTGCTATTCGCCAAACACGTTTTCTGTGTTAAGTGCTTTTTGTTCCACCATGAGTCATAAGCCATTATGTTTATTTAAGTTTGGTTTTTGTTAGTTCCGCTGTAGAGCGTCATTACTGTCTGAGCCACACCTCTGCTGTGGTGTTATAGTGCATTATTACCCTACCAACAGGAGAAGTAGGGTCGTCTACCGTTGGTTCGGATATATTTTTACAATGCTTCCTGATTGTTGTGGAGTGAACAAATAGTTAATGGGTTATTTTGCAAGCTCTAATTGGTCTGTAGCTCTCCTGAAACCTTAATCTAGTACTCCCTTTTTCCCAATTTCAGGCACGGGACATGATCCTCGAAGCCATTTTGAACCTCTCTACACGCAGAGCTGCGCCCTGGTTCAAGGCGGGTATTCGTACCGGTGGAGGACTGGATGGTGTTGCTGACGCCACAATTGATGCTGTGGACTACCTCAAGGATCTCTGCACTTTCGACGGACCCGGTAGAAGGTCTAACTTCTTTGTCTCCACCGCTAAGAACCCCACCGGTTTGGACGACTTCTCGTTAGACAATTTAAAAAGAGTCGGACATTATGCAAAAATGCTAGAAAATGTAAGTCTACCTTTTCTGAAGACTGGAGATTCCAAGAACTGAAGCCTTACTTGCTTATAATGACGTCCTTTTAAAACAGTATCTGCCTTGGACTTAGTGGAGTGGTTCAGTAGTCTCTGTAAAGCACTACTTTAACTCTTACCTTTATTTGGCTCATATTAAGGGAGTTTTGGTGTTGATAAATCTGGTAGGCACACCTTTCTTATAATTTAACCGTTCTTATACGTCTGCCTTTCATGTGCTAGATGACCTACATGAATCCAGACAATCAAACTCACCTAGTTCGTTACAAAGAGCGCGCTCTGATTGACCGATTGGTCCAGTGCATTCGTCTCTGTGCCTCCCGCCTCCCACGCCATGCACCGCCCTCCGTTTCCTGGACAGACCTTCTATGGAAGGAGTCAGAAGAGAAGACATCTGGTCAACAGGACCAGAATCAACCGCCCACCTCCTCAACCGAAGGCGTCAAGCCGACGACTTCCAATGAAGTGGAGTTTCAACAAGATCAACAAACTCTCCTAACTTGCCTTCTTGCAATATTTCGTCTATTTGTAAATGTCTCGCATAGCGGTAAGTAGTCGTTATTTCCTCCTTTCATTCTCTTATTTTTATTGTAATTTTCTAAGTTTCCGGATCATTATTTATATGTTTTGATCCTTCAGAATATGCCAGCGACCGACTGGGCGGATGTCCTGACCTTCTGGAAGCCACTCTAGACTGTCTCTTTCACCTACCAGATCGTCTACCTTCTTCCCGACGGTTTGATCTACTCATTCTCGTACTTTGTCTCTTGGCAAACCTTTGTGAACACTGTCCAGAGAACCGAATACGAATTGTTCACTTGGAGGTTCGGAGTCCGGAGAGTTCAATTGATGGTGGTGTTGGTAATGGTGATGCAAATGGTGAAAATGTAAGTATAGCCGATGTGGGTTACGAAGACGATGAAGCGGAAGGTGGTGGTGGTGGTAATGGATCTCCGAGATTTGCGGCTCCTCCACGTGTGCCTACAGTATCAGCGTTGGACGAGGTAGTAAAACTCTTTCTCTATCGTGAAAAGAAAACTCTCATGCATGAGTTTGAACGAGAGGAAGAGGGAATGGAGGAAAAAGACAAAAAGACTGAGGAAGCTGATTCTACAACTACAACCATATCAACTCTCCAGCGACCGAAACCACCCCCTTCCCTCCTCACTGACAGTGGAACAGAGACGATTGAAGAAGCGGGGTTGAAGTGGCGTCTTATCGGCGGAAATAGACATGGAGCTGGTAGGGTCGGAGGTACTGACTCCTCAATGTCTGGTGCTGCTTCAAGATCTTCAAGTAGGCAGTTGTTTGATTGCTTGCAAATTTGAATTACTTTTCTGATTGTCTACCGTGGTTTCAGAGTCCTTGAAACGCTCTCGAATGCGTGCAAAACGAAGACGACGTCGTCAAACCCTGTTACGACGAGGAGGTGTTGAAAAGAGAGCCAGGCTTGATGGAGTAATGAGTTCTGATGATGAAGAGGAGGATGATGAAGATGACGAGGAAGAAGAGGATGAGGATGAGATGTGCAGTGATGAGGATGAGGGTAGTGATGGTGAGAGGAGTTTCTTACAATTTTTTTTCTTGTTGTCCCTTATCTCTAACGCCCTGATTTCACTCTTGTTTCTGGTTTTCGCCTTAAAAGGTAGTGAAGAGGAGGATGAGTATGACGAGGACGATGAGCTGTGTGGAGGAGCCGATGTGGAATTCGTTGCAGAGACGCAAGAAGAGCAAGAGAAGTTGAAGGAACGCATGTCTTCAGCCAATCAACACATGGAGGACTCCGTGGTGGCGGCCTATGCTGGTATTTTGAGTTGTTTCGTACTTGTGTTGAGTCGCTTCATTTTCTGGAGCTTTACTTCCATTTATTCAGTGGATGTCCTGATGGCTAGCTGATTAGGTGGTTGGGGAGGCGGATGTGGCGATGGAAGGATTACTTTTTTGGGTGTTGAATGAAGGAGTGACTGCTTACAGTGAGACGGTTGAGTTGATAGGTGGCTGGCTGTGCCTTCTGACATCCTGAAGCAGACTTATCCTTCGCTTCTGGCATTTGACAGATTTTGTGGTGCCTTAATGGTTGGAAAAATGATGGATTGAGGGATTCAGGAGGTATAATTGGATTAGTGAATATGGACGCCTGACTGGCTGGAGCTTATCGCTGAACTGATGCAATTCGTTTTCCTTTCGTTTGTATAGCTCTTCTTCTCGGTTGCATCCTACAAT